TTTTTTTTTTTAATTTTTTTTTTGGGATTTTTTATATTTTCCCCGCAGACTTTTTCCCCTTTTTTTTTTTTTTTTTTTTTTTTTTTTGCTTATTTTTGTTAAGTCCTCATGTTGAAAATGATATTTAAAAAAAAAAAACTTTGATTAAAATGGCAAAACTGGATATGTGAAAGACAAAAGAAGCTTCAGTCTTTAGCTGAGCAACTTCTGAAAGTCAAGTTTTTAGGTCATGAGGTGAAAGCAGGCAACAATCTGACACAATTTTTTACTTTTGCTCCAAGTTTTCAACCATTAAATCTTTGTGGGTCACTTTTTCTTTTTATGTATATAAAACTATCATCTCCAGTATTTTTCATAAACATCACAAAAAAAAAAAAAATCAAAACAAAATGTGTCTTTTAGAATCAACTCTGGATGCCAAGGTCAAGGTTCATTTTGTAACCGATACAATTTCAAGTCATTTAGGATATTTTAAATATGCTATTAATTCCCGAATGAGCCCATTTTCCACAAATAATTCAGAGTTATGTTCCACAGAAAAAAATAGCAAACAGGTGAATCCACAAATACTAAATCACAAAAAGGTGGATGTTCATTATAATTGTCTTAAACACAGAGGTTTGCGCTTGCTGCAGCACTTTGGACCAGCTGAAAGCATTCAAGTGCGACTTCCTCATAGAAATGTCAAGTTTAGCTATCCTTATGCTTTTTTGATTTAACTATCATAATTATCATAAATATTATTATTAGTTCTTAATGTATTCTCAATTTCTTGTACATTGTTGCTGCTTTCTACACATATAGTACATTTTTTAAACATCCACAATCAGTTTAAGATTGTTGAAATCTGAATTTATTATTTTTAATAATCATATCCTCCTGACTGCAGTAGTTCATTTTTTGTCCTCTGTAGAGGACATTTCTATCTCCCACCTCACAATATCTCCCACCCCCTCCATTCTACTGAATGGTATCTGTCCTCTCCAGATACCAAAAGATACCAAAAGGGGTGGGATACCTTTTGGTATCCCACCCCTTTTGGTATCTGGAGAGGACATTTAGGGCTTTTCAATGATACCACATGTGAAGGGGTGGGACTTTTGTACGTACCTTTTTCTAATTCATAAAAATGGTGTTCATCAGTAATAACACATTTTATGGGATGAGACAAAGTAAGTGCATAAAACCTTTTATTACCTTACAAAGACGGTGGGATTTAAAAAAATGGTGATTGGACAATATTTTTTTTCCTGGTAGTCAGGATTATAGTATTATTTTTCCTGTATTGTAAGCTTTCCCTGGGTCTCTTTTTGTAATTTCTTTCTGTAACCTGTTGTTGATACACCTGAATCGGGACAATAAGCAACATTTCTATTATATCCTATGGTTTCTCCACTATTTCCAGGTGTCTACTGAGTGGCTGCTGGTCCATATTCCCTCAGAGCTCCTTGTCTCCTGATCCGTTTATCTTTCATATCCTCTCCTGTGCTGCTCCCCATTGGTCACAGCCGCAGCCTTCATGTCGAGTGGTGCAGGGCGCCTCCTGCAGAGCGCAGCAACACTTCAGACAGCCTGACTTTTGTTCCCGGCTACCACACTCAATAAAAGTGCCAACAACCTGTCACTTCTGAAGGTCACCGGGGTCATAACGAGAGAGTTTGGGTGTAAACATACGCCTTGAAACAGAGATGACACACACAGACTCACAACACCATCAACAAGACTCGGTGAGGAGGCTGACTGCAGTGATGGGCCAGAGATTAACTCAATTACAAGAAGTTCTCACCTACTCTCAAATCCTGACTTCTTGGAAATCAGCTGTTGCCTTGGTGATGTGCAGTGATAGCAGTGGCAAAGGGTTAGCTTGGCAGCAGGAGCAGGAGGCGGGAGATGATCAAGAAAAAGAAATGTGGCTTATTTTGAGAAAATACTTCTGCATTCAAAGACACAAACACGGCACTCTTCTACTTCCTTCACTAAAAATATATATAATTATCCTTCAAAGTAATGTTTCTTGTTTAAGGAAGGTAAATAATATACACCATGCTTTGGAAAAGTGTTCATATTTCCTGAATATTTTTAGGTTGTTTACCTCAAACTTTAAAATATGTCACTGGGACTCTATGTACGAACACAAGGATGGGATTCATTGAGTTGAGGAAGACTGCTGATGCATGTTTTGTTTGTTTTACAAATAAAATTTTTTAAAGCGTGGCATACATTTATTCAGTTCCTATCAGTAAACATTTTGCAGAATGTTTTGCACTGTTCAATTACAGTTTCAAGGCTTTAGAGATACTTCTCTACCAGCTTTTTACATCCACAGCACTGTTTCTCAAACTTTTTCAGGCCAAGGTCTGCTTGCCACATTTAACAAACACTCACAGACTACCTAATTTGAAATTACCCCCAAAATAATGCAACATCTTCAGCTTGAAATGAGAATTAGTGTCTTAACTCATTGTTTTCGTTCCTCCTAATGTGAAAGGTGGTGCTGTTTTGTGTGAATTCTAAACTTTCCAATGATGGAAAACACACAGAAATAATAATAATAATAATAATAATAATAATAATAATAATAATAATAATAATAATAATAATAATAATAATAATAATAATAAAAGCTTTTACTACAATTATGTGCACTATTAACGTTTTGGGGCTATTTGTAATTTAGAAGCCTAATAAAAGAAAAAAAAATGATTGAGTTGCGTTTGCAAGAATGATCATTTTCTTTCAGTCAGTAAGTAGGCCAACATAATTAATATTTACTGTGTTCAATAAATATGGGCAAATATGTCTATCATTAGAATGCTGTGTTGTGCATCCCAAGCTGCAGTTTAGTTCTGAGACACTTGAGGGCGCTATTGCATCAACAAAAATTTCAACTTTTAAGTGAAAAGTGACAACATAGAGAAACACGCGTCCCGTCATCGTGTTTAGCTTCAGTAAAACTTGGTTCATTGGACCATTTTCCATTTTCTTTCCCGTCTGCTTGTGGAAGCGACTACATTTCCCAGAAGGCTAGCGGCTGGATTTTTTTTGTTTGCTTGTTTGTTTTTACTCTTGTTCTCAGTTTGCAGCTGGAACAACTGGATCAACTCGCTGCTCTTGTGGATATATTAATACATCCTTTTTTCCCCCCATTTTAATCTGATCCCTATTTGAAGAAGTTTATTTAAATAACTTATTCAGTCGGTTTTGTTTTATTAGAAATTTTACTCCAGATCTACAGGCACATTTTTGGAGATTATTATTTTTTTTTTTTATCTTTATTTTTATTTTTTCCTCGCTCGGTCTGGACAGGAGTGTCAGGGCTGCAGCTTGGTGAGTTCAAAAGCATCACAGTGAGGGTTGAACTGGACGCGGCTCTCGGTGCCAACGCCTTTCCCTCTCTCTGCGCTTCTCCTCCCGGCCGGGGAAGTTCAGCTCACACCGAGCCAGGAGCAGCAGACCACGGCGGCGTCCGAAGCCAATATCCGGAGCAGAAAAAGTTGTTTTGTTTTGGGGGTGGGGGGAGAAGAAACAGAAGATGGGCTGCACGATCAGCGCCGAGGATAAAGCCGCGGTGGAGAGGAGTAAAATGATTGATAAAAACATACGAGACGACAGAGAGAAATCATCCAGAGAGGTGAAACTGCTTCTACTCGGTATGAAACCATACCTGATGCTTCTTATGTATTTATTTATTTATTTATTTATTTTTTACTGCTTCAGTGCCTTTATGCAGAGTCTGTAAGGTTACTTTTTTAAATTTTCCATTCCTTCACCGCCACTTATGAGTTTGCAGTCTGGGAACTCCAGCACTCCTCCCCTTTCTTAAGGAGCTGGGAGTCATCGCTTCCTGAGAAAACTGTCAGAAAGAAACCAGATGTTGGTCAAAGAGCAACTGGCCGAGCGGCTTTCTCTCGGTGTTGGGTTGTTGAAAAGAATAAGAATAGCATGCTTATATGAGAGGACAAGTGCAGTCATTTGTTACTGAAGATGTTGGCAACAGCTGCAGCTCTGTTTCACGTCAGCTCATCAGAAACAACTGCTGGCTCATCAATCCAGAGAATGTTGCAATGAGCAGGAGATGTTTCAGAATCTGCATTTAAGCTGGCATTCATAGCTGCATCTGATTAGACAAGAACATCCTCTGAAGCTTCGTTTATTTAGTGATTTAGTTGGAAAAGTGAAACTTTTATAGAATTAACTTTTATAGAATAATAAGTTGTGCTTATTTGAATTAAATTTGATGATTCTTGCGCACAGTTAATGAAAAACCATAAAACAGTTTTTGCAGAAAAATAGATCATTAAATTAGACCAAAATAAGATGAAGTTGTTTTAATATGTGCTGTCTAACAGACAGTCACTGTGACACACTGCACAAGGAGGGTAGGCCAAAAAAATGTCACGACTATAGAAAGCCGCTGTTGACATAATTCTGTATTCAGCATTTAAATGGAAGATTTAGTGGAAGGAAAAAAAATGGTGCAAGAGCATCAGCTGCTTGAAAAGCATTGTGAAGTTTTTAGCTCCATTTCACTTCCAGTTTTCATCTGTAAATGAACAGAAATAAACACCTGCTTTTCACATTTAAGACACTGAAATAAATTAACTTCTTGATTAACTCCAGTATGTTTTTACATTAAAAAATACCGAGATTCCTGTTGCAATAAATAGCATAAAATCATCTTTCACGTCATGAGAAAACTTCAAGAAAATCATGCTGGATTTTTCTTTTCCCATGTGTTTTAAAATTCTTCAGTTTGCTGGTACAGTAGCCCATTTTGGCCAAATTAAACTTCAGATCTTTTCATAATGTTGTCCAAATTCTAGACTTTTAGGAGGAAAGTCCTCAGTGTCGTTCTGCTGCTCTGTCTATGCCGTATGTTCTAACTCTGCACCTGAATACGTCAGCATGTCTTAGTGAATGTAGATTAATGGTATGAACTTGATTAAGAGCTGTACTCGTTCTCTTCCACTGTGTTCAATCCGCTGTTTTAAATCCTAAACGAGCTCCATGTGAGCCCAGACATGAGCCGGAGGACGTGGTGCGCCTCGTCTAACTGCGGCACAAGATCTTCCTGGTGAATCTCTGTGTGTGTCTGCATGGAAAACGTCATCTATACATGCAAAACAAAACTGTTTTAAGTTGACCTTACTCTAAATAAGAAGATATTCCGGTTGCATAAGCTACATGAACAGTCCTGTTATTGTGCCTTTGAAAAGTTTACATTTTTTAAAATTTGTCACATTGAATGTATTTTACCAGGATTTTATCCAACATTTTGAAAAGAAGAAAATGGAGCTCTAACTCAAAAAAAGTGTCACAAGTTTGTCTATATTTATATTTGTTTAACTTGACAACTTAAAAAGATTGTTAAATTAACTTAGATAAACTTAATTTGATCACACGTGACCAATTGGTGCAATGTATTTAAGTCGGATCAAATGTTCTCTTTTTTTTTTAGTTTAGATCAAAACAAAGTAGAGGAAGAAAACGAGTCAGACTTGGTCCTGATTTTAGGTTAAATCAGGTTTAATTGGCAGAAACAGTTTGATCACTTAAATTGGTTCAAAATATTCATCCAGCTGACATCATTTATTTTTTTTTATTCACATAACTCTGGTCATATGTTGCTGCTCTCCCAGCGAACCTGTCGCTGTGGGCGATGACCACACAGAGATGCCAGGAGGATTACACTCCCAGCTGCGCTCAGCATTTTCAGCTTGTTACAAATCTTTAAGCCGCCCAAACCCATTGCAGCCAAACTAAAAGAAAAAAAAAATGTGATAAACTTTCAGAAAAATTGGCAACTATAAAAGATGACAAGAAAGCAAAGCTTATGGGAGGAAAAATATTTGAAAAAATGTGGAATGTTAGTTTCATGTTCCACTGCTGAAACGCACCACGCTCAAAATGAACTTCACAAGGCTGTAGAAAAATGATTTACGCCCAAAACGATTAGAGCATCCCATCATATTTGACTCTGTCAGTATTTTCATTGTCTGCGCAACATTTTTTCAGATAATCTAATTAGTGCTGGACTCAAACATCTTCTCAGGGTCGCAAAGAGTAGCAGACATGTAATTAGATGGAGGATTCTGAGGACAGATGTGACATGTTGGGTCACATGCTGCAGGACGTCCTGAGCAGCTGCAGCAGAATGCATCTTAAATTGCATAGAAACATCTCCGCTCTGCAGACGTATTTCTGAGCACTGAAATGTGTTTATTAGTGATAATCGAATGAGCCAGACGTGGTTTGTCTGAGGAACGGACGAACCTGTCGGTGATCATCACAGAGAAGCTGAATCAGCGGGTTAATCGATCCTGAGCGGGGAATCTGATTTGTTTTGTCGAGACCAGAGGAGAATATACCAGTTTACCCTTCTGCAGAAATCCCACTTCACATCAGTTGTTATCGCCAACGGCAACCAGTGGCAGCATTTGCTCCATATCCACTCATTGCTGTTGTTATAATGGGTTTTCTTACTTGTTCTCCCTCAACTATTTTTGTTCTAGATCCCATCTCTGATAGCATGAAGCATTTTTTTTTTCCCATAAAGCACTTCTTGTCATTTCTGAGTTTCAGCCCACATCTCTGAGTCATCTGTTCCCCTTATAGACTGTATCTCCACTCTTGTACGTCAAAGACCCTGTTCCAGGTGTTACATGACAGAAAAGTATCCACACTCCTTGACTGGTTTCACATTTTGTCATGTTTCAACCTCTGCCTGTGCAGAGTTGGTATCCAGGGACGGACTGGCATACGGGACCACCAAGGATTTCCCCAATGAGTTAGTGGGTCGGTGGTTTATCCCGTGGGGAAGCTGTGGCACTTGACCTGAACACACACGCAGCAGCAATTGTTTTGTGACGCCATGTTGCCTCAAACTATACCACATCAGCTTTGTATTAATTTCTTTAACCTTTTGTCTCCGCTCCGGTCAGGCGGATCTCCTTAGAGAACGAGGGCTGCAGGGCCACATGGCTGGCAGTGAAGAGTGGAGAGCAGAAAAACTTGCCCCGTAAAGCCCAGCCACCAAAAGCAAATAGCATCTGTGGCACTTAATAAAAACTCAGCAGTCACGAAATGGAAAAGCTTTGTTCCTACTATTGCCACATAAATGAAATCTGTCTCTCATATCCAACAGAGAGATGCGCAGTGCAGTGGCTCCAGCTTGCCATGCAGGGCCGGTCAGAGGTCGTATGAGGCCTTGCATTTGACTTGGGGACCCAAGGAGTCTTCATGAATGTTTACGACTGTTGTCATGAAGTTTGGTAAATAATGACACTTGCAGTGCACATTTGCATTAAAAGTTGCATAAAAGTGTCTAATTAGCATTATTGGGTGAAATGTTTTTTTTAGTTTTTATGCAGAGTTGCATTAAAACTTACATTAAAGTCAATTAAAAGAGTCAACTTTGCTGTAAGAGTGTCATTATTTGACGGATGACAGCAGTCGTAAACATTCATAAAGACTCCTTCATGTTCATGCATTAAGCAGCATTAAATAAGTCTGCATGAGCTAAGAAGATGTAGCAGTGAAAACCTTTTTCTACACTTAACAGTTGTTCGGATAAAGTTTTAAACAGTCTCAAACATCTTGTGTGTCCCTCCCAAAGCTTTTTTTGTCCATTCCTGCAGACAGGACTGGTGCAAAGCAGCCATGCCACTTTGCCTGTAGAAGCGTTCTCCATTTGTGCCCAAGCTTTAACTTCCTGTTTGATGTGCGGAGATGTCGTGTCAATATTTACTCTGATGTTCTTTCCTCTTCTTGTCACTTGTTTTCTGAAGTGCACCAGTTCCTCATGCAGCAAAATGCCTTTTTTCATTTAACGACTGTCATAATGGGGAAACACTTAAATTTCAGGTACATTACACCAGACTCTCTAAAAGTTAGGATATTTTCTTTAGGTGGATTTTTACATTGCAGTCTGTCTTTTTGAGTAGTTTCTTTTTTTTTGGAATCCTGGCTTCTTCCTCCCAGAGTGGCTTTTCTGTCCATGTTCACGCTGGACGTTTTTATTACTGTGGATAATCTCTTACCATCTTCAGTCAGAAACTTAACAGGGTCTTTTTCTTTTGGTTAAGGGTTAAATTATAATTTTCACATTTTGACCCATATCACATTCACCTCTGGGATTCAGAACCTATCCTCTTCCTAAACAGAACCATGTCTGGATATTCCCATGTTTAAACTCTTACAGTTTAAACAGATAAACTTGGAGCCTTAGGCTAAATGGAAATTACACTCATGTATGAACCAGACTTGTCGGACTCCACCTTTCTCTTCCTGACATCTTCACAGGTTGCTTTTATATTCCTCTGATGTCCAATTTGGCTCCAATTAACTCAAATGTTGTGAATTAACCAATCAGAAGGGTACAAAGCGAAACGCATCGTCATTTCATCTGAGCTTTTCCAGATTGTTCAGTTTATGTAAAGTTATAAATTTCAAAAGAGTAACAAAGAATATGTTTCTTATTTATTATTGTATCATTTCTCAAACATTAATATTTTTGGTATTTCTCAATTACCTAGAAAAGGAAGAGCTTAATTTCATTTGATGTTAGGAAGCACATCAGTAAGGAGATGTGGTTATGTCTCTTTCTGCAGTGTGGGGTTTAGGCTACACTTTAAACATTTTGTTGAAAAAAACATGTGAAACTTAATCCACGACGTGGACTTCATGTCGGCCTTTCTTTTAAAATCACAAATAAAAAACTGAAGTTTGTGGTTGTGACGGGACAAACGGTGAAACATTTAAGGGACATGAATACATTTACATTGAAGGCTTTGTTCCAGCCCCACCTAAAAAGGCTGGTTGTTTGGAAACATTTATTCTGAAATACTAACCACAGAGACGTTTCCAGCCAATCACTCTGCCTCTGTGCTGGTACTAGAGAGGGAAAACAAGGGGGGGAGGGGGGAAATGTGGCTGCTGCCCGTTATTGAAACCACAGAGTTTTAAGAGCCCCTACTCCCTTCCAACGAAAGCGTTCTCCTATTTGACCACAAACAGCGAATCATGAGAAAAGCCCAAAGTTTAGATTCCTGTTAAGAGAGGCTCGGTTTGGAGTCTTGCTTCTGTGTGGGTTTGCGTCGACGCGAAAGCCTGTGCATGAGCTGGTTTGTGAGCTGGCAGACGTCCAGCGTTGACAATCAGCCAAGAAATGCAGTGAATGGGGGAACTGGTGGCTGGGAGGACCGAGGACGTGAATCAGCGCAATTTGTCTTCTCCTGTGAGCGGCTTAAATCTCTTCTGCTGCCGTCAGCTCGACCAAACAATTCCAGGATTTAATTCCTGTTGAACAGCAATCTGGACACAACATTCAGCTCTGATCCCCCTTGACAGTATCCAGCTGCTGAAGGCGACAGGAATGTGTTCTGACACCTTTTCCATGCAGAACAATGCTAAGCCAATTATTTTGTGTTTTTTTGACACAGCTGCTCCCTTTAGGAAAACACCAGCAAACGTATTTGTTTAATTCCACTGCCTGGAAAACTTGTGATGCAGTTTCCTGATGATTTTACAAAGCAAACATGGGTCTGCTGCTGCTGCTGCCGTGATGAACTAAGATGATGTTTTTATGGAAATAGTTTTTCTTAAGCTGTCTGAGTTTGACCCGCAGTGTTTCGCATGTACACATGCTTTCACTGCTCTTTAACCCAATGAGAACTGGTGCAGCTTGCTCATGCTTCCCCCTTTCAGAAGTGAAAGCAAAGCGAGTTCGTTTTGCCCAAATCTGTTGTTTTCAACGCACAGTGTGGAGTTTTCGCTGCTGAATCAAGTGCAAACCTCAGTCCTTGAGTGCAGAGGTTTTTATTTCTGGCACGTTTTTGGATCAGAGCTGAGGAAATGTCCAGTTTTTGGGAAGATGTTTCGAACAGTTGATGTTGTTTTGCGTAGAGCCAGTTGCACGGTGGTGATGGCATTGCGCAACTCGGTAGTTGCTGCAGGAGCAAAATTGCAGGATTCCAGGATAAAATGTCCCATATCAGCACCTCGATTACCTGTTTTCCCTATTGGATTGTTTTAAAGAGTTAAATCCAGAATGTAATGATTTGTCAGTCAGTGTAAAAGTTGCTGGTCAGCTCAGCTTGGCTTTATTGGTTTTTGATCATCCTGTGACGCTTTGCTCCTCTGGGTTTCACCCTGGGTGAATCCATTTTCTTCACCTAGATTTTTATTATTTGTCCTTTATTTGCAAGTTGGGTCACTATTTCTTCGATAGCACTTGCTGCATTTAGCAGAGTTTAACAAAATGATTTAAAGCACATTCATTCCCTCCCACATCTGTTTTTGAGTGAATCACATTGGATGTATTTGGGGATTTTTTTTGTTTTGAAATTCAAAAGAAGAAAATATTTACCACTGTGAGGAAATTCTTCAAATTCAGTCTTTTTTTTTTTTTTTTTGCCTTAATTAAAAACAAATTGAAGTCTCCTTCTTTGTTTACCACATGTGCTGATGGGTCAGATTGGTACCACTCTGTAATCTCAGAATCAATCTGGAGGAAGAAGGTGACCCCTGGGTCGCAATTGGACTTCACTGGACTTTCTGGTAACACTTTATTTGAAGGGGGTTGAATAAGACTGTCATGACACTGTCATAAACATGACATAACACATGTCATGAACATGAATAAGCCTTCATGAATATTTATGACAACAGTCATAAATATTCATGAAGGCTTATTCATGTGCATGACAGGTGTTATGACATGTTTATGACAGGTGTTATGTCATGTTTATGACAGTGTCATGTCAGTCTTATTCAACCTCCTTCAAATAAAGTGTTACCGACTTTCTTCCTTCTGGATAAATCCAGCTGTTTTTATTCTAGTTTTAGTTTGTTGGTGGGAAGCCGTTGTGAGCAGCTGTTGGATCCAGTCATTTGTGTGGCATGAAGCTGAATAAGAACATTCCCATAAATATTAATAGACGCAGTGCTGAGTTCCTGAAACAACTATTTTAAGATTTCCTTTGTATTTAAAAAAAAAAAAAACCAAAAAGTCTGCAGTGCAGCCAGCAGCAGGGTTGGAAATGCAGAAGAAAAAAAAAAGAAAGTTCTGCATTTTTATGATTTGATTAAAAATAATCAGCCGAAGTTACATGGCATTCCACCTTCCATGTGTTTCTTCCAGCAGAGTTTCATGGTTCCAGCAACATTGTCAGTCACAACTGTAACAGAAAAATAATAATAAGAGCATAATAAGAGCCGTACTAGCATGAGGCCTTCCTGTAAACCATTTCCATCAACATGCACAGCTGGGTTTGGGTTCACCAACAGGTTGGTGTTTGGCTCAAACTGCTGACACGCTCTTTGAGTCGGTCGTGTTTTTTGGACGGTCGCTCGGCTCCCTGCAGCCCAGCACAGCGCGATATGTGGAAAAAAAAACACGGAGACATGGCGGCTGCTTCCTGTTTGGCTGATTGTTGCACAAATTAATTATTGGAATGAAATCCTTTCCCTCCTCTGCAGTATTAGAATATCACTCATCGTAATGGAGGCTTTGGGAAGGTTTTGACCTCTCAGTCATCAGTTAATCATCCGCCACAGATCCATGATATTGTATTGTCAAAGTTGAAGTTAATCTCATGCCAGCGTCTGATGATTTCCTGTTGTTTTTTTTTGTTTTGTTTTTTTTACTCCTACCAGCTGCAGAACTGTGCAAAAGTCTCAGTGCATCCATTTTTATACATAACTTGTTTCTGTGGAGACAGATTTCCTTGTGTTTGTTGTCTCAGTTTTGCAAAGGTCTTTACTTTTGTCCTTTTATGTGCACATAAAGCAACATACAAGTTAATTTTTAAGTGAATTTGAAAAGAAAACCAAAAGAGAACAGAGGCTGAAAGACAAAAGAGTGTACTGGCATCAGGCTGGAGTTACTGCACAAGCTGTCATGATGTAGATTAAGTAAATGACACATTATCGTCTGATCTAAAACTTCAAGAACAGGAAATAGACAGTCAGAAATAATAAAGAAACTGCGACATGTGCGTCTATATGGGTTACTTTAATAATATGTCTTGTATGTAGTTTGGTGGCCCTGCTTTCTGCTGAATAAAGACAATTTCCATCCAGAAAACATTGTTCTATTCTAGACATTTTATATATATATATATTTTTTCTAATGAGTAACAGATCACCAGTCCCTTCATCATGAACTGATGACGAATTCACTCCCTACACTTACAAAATGGAGAATGACTGATTAAATGGCATCAGATTATTTTCACATTTCAGAGCCACCTGAGCCCCCAGGTGTTACTCTGTACCGATGCCAGGTATTAATGCTTCATTTTACCTCTTTCCCCTGTTTTTCCAGGTGCCGGGGAATCTGGAAAGAGCACTATTGTCAAGCAGATGAAGTAAGTCCAAACTTTCATCACAGTCAGGATGCTGGTGTCCACGGCTTTTTACACTTCCTGCAGGGATCCTTTCTGCTATTTTTATTTCCCGCTGATGAAAGACAGGCTTGCTCTCTCGCTCTTTTAGCTGCCACGTTGTTGAGCTCATCTGTCTGGAAAAAATTGTAGCAGCATGGTGGAAACTTTACTTTGTGCCACTCAGGCAGCGAGGAGGAAGCCCCCTCTTCTTTTTGTTGTTGCAAAACCCGTTAAACAAAGGACCCAGAGGCTGGTTGCTGCCTGGCAGGACCTGAATAGAGTCGGCCGGTTCCCACGTTAAGCACGCCGTTTGCTCACTGAAGCTCAAAGTTCAGCACTAATGACAGCGAGGCACGAGATCTGCCAAACGTGTAATCAGATATGAGACTGTTAATCCTGCTGTTTGCACTGTTAGATATGCATATGGAACATGAGAATCTGTTCTGATTTCATTCACGCTTCAGAATCATCCACGAGGATGGCTACTCGGAAGAAGAGTGCAAGCAGTACAAAGTGGTGGTGTACAGCAACACCATCCAGTCCATCACGGCCATCATCAGGGCGATGGGGCTGCTGAAGATCGATTTTGGCGATGCTGCCCGGGCGGTAAGCTGACAGCCTCCTCCTCACCTGTGGCTCGAGTCAACACAGGAGTGATTTTGCAGCGTCAGCAGCTGTTGGTCGTGTCTTACAGGACGACGCGCGTCAGCTGTTCACCCTCGCGAGCACGGCGGAGGAAGGAGTGATGTCTCCGGAGCTGACCGCCGTCATCCGCAAGCTGTGGCGCGACAGCGGCGTCCGGGCCTGCTTCGACCGATCTCGAGAGTATCAGCTCAACGACTCGGCTGCATAGTGAGGACGCCACGCGGAGCGCTGCGCGTTAATTAGTAGCTCCACATGAGAGCTGAACACATCTCAGTTGCTTCTAAAAAAAAATTACACTTCCTGACATCTCTGACTAGGGGTGCGCTGATAAATCGGCACCAAGTTTGAAGGATCGTGATAGGCGGATACTTTACTGTGAAGCCGATTTTATCGGTAGATCTTATCTACGTCAGCAAAGGTCTGAGAATCAGCCGCTGGCCTCTGTTGCTCTGCGGTGAGAGACGGCTGAAAGACCCACCAGGTCATGTCTGCACGTTCGCTAACAACTCTGCAACTTTCTTGCTATATTTACCAACATTTCAGACAAAAAATATCAGGAATCGGCAGGTCAGGCTTTTTAAACCAGCCAGAAAACTACAATCGGTGCACCCTTCTCTCAAACTTTGGTGAATTTTGACAGAGCAACACAAAGTAGTGAATTATTGTGAAATGGAGTAAAAAGATACGTGGTTGTGAATACAACTTTTTCTTTGACCCCTTTTGCTCTGATAGCCCTTAATAAAGTCCAATCATCAGTCAGCTATTCTGCCATCGAGGAGCAAACCAGACGGGTGAGGGGTGAAGAGGGAGGAAGAGGAATTTAGGTTTAAAGTAATACTTTGTGCTCACTGCTCAATCTGAATTTTGAAAGGACATGGCACAACTTTAAATCTACCAAAATACTGATCTCCACTCGAATGGACAGAACGGGCAGGGACAGCGCTCAGAGCTCGCCAGTTCAGGTGTCAGAATCTGTGGTCAAGACAACTATCAGCCCGCCAGGTGCAGCAATAAAGCCACTGCTGAGAGATCAGATGGCACCGAATGCAAACGGTTTGGCCAACACGCAAAACACTGGTTGAAAATTAACTCGACACGTCAACCCTACGCGTACGGCCAGAAGGAAACGGTTTGATCAGAACATTTTCTTGCAGTAGAGTGGCCCAGTCAAAGTCCAGAAAGAAATCCAAGTGGTGGTAAGACTTGGAAATAACAGACACTCCTCATACAACCTCAAAGAGGTAGAGCTACGCAAGAAAGAATCTAAAAAAGCCACTCCGCTCAATATTTTAATTTGTTAAAAAAAAGATTAGACATTTATAGAAAAATAGGTGACATCATGTACTACTGCGCGTTGGTTTATCATATCAAATTATTGTAAAATACTCTAAAATTCGTGGCTGTAATATGACAAAACGGGGTGTGAAGACTTGTGCGAGTCGCTGTATTTAACCGCTCTAGTAATGAAACATGTTACTACAGTCAACCACTGAGTGAAACAGAGTGTTTTACTTGAAAAAGCAAACAGAGAGCCTAATATAGCCCCTGCCTTATATTACTAATCAAACACAGATGCGGCTCATGCAGTTCTCTGTTTTCTCCGGTCTGTTTTGTTTTATGTCACACCCATCCTGAGCGAAAATCTCACCCAGTGTGAAGGACGTGCTCTTTGTTGTGCAAACACCCGAGTTGTCATGACTCTCTGCGCGCTGTGAGCAAACCCTGCGACACGACGGACCAGTGGAGTTAGTCTGTTTTTACTCAGCCCACAAGAAGCCAGTGTTTATCATCCATGAAAATATGAGCCCATATTTAGTATTGCTCCGCGGCGTCCTGAGATGTTTTGCTCTAAGTGTATTGAGAGATGTTTTCCTGTCGGAGCATGACATTTGTACGTTTTGAAAGCCTCTTGAGAACGAAATTAATTTGCACGATGTCGAAAGGAGGTACAAACAAACAATTAATCAGTGAAAAAAAAAAAAGACAACAGTTTGGGTTTTCCACAAACATAAATATTTGCTGCTACATCGTCTCCTTTTTTGTCCCTCAGCTACTTGAACGCGCTGGACAGGATCTGCAAACCGAACTACATCCCGACTCAGCAGGATGTGTTGCGCACCCGGGTGAAGACCACAGGGATCGTGGAAACTCACTTCACCTTCAAAGATCTCTACTTCAAGTTAGTATGGATGAATCACAGCCCAGCTCAGCCTTCAGAGAGTTTATGTTGCTATAAAAGAGAAAATCCTCTTACACGTAAACACAGCTGAGTCTGGTCTCTGTTTTAGATGGTGAATGTGTTCGTTGTTCGGTTCACTTGTCAAATGCATTTTGATTGTTTTGTGGAAATTGCATACTTGCAGGACATAAAAGCGTAAGGACTAGTCACACCGCTAGAAGTTTTTCACATTTCTGTTACAGTATCACCAGTTTTTTTTTTTTTTTTATGTTGAATTTTGCACAAAGTCGCACACAGAGAGGGGAGTGGAATGATGCAACGCTGAGAAATGTGGCAGGTACTCGTCCTTTGGTCTTTGCCTAAGTTGCCAGAGATTGTCAGTTTAATTTAGCTCTGGACTTTGACTAGGCCATTTTAATATACTTTGCCTTGTAGTTCTGGTCATATATTTAGGATATTTTTCCTGCTGGCAGGTGAACCTTTGTTATAAGTCAGATTTTTAGATTCATCCATTTTCCCATCAGCTCTGGCCATCCTGCAGGTGCCTGCAGAAGAAAAGCGCCTCCACAGCACAATTCTGCCACCACCATGTTGCCACCATGTGCTGTGTCCAGTCTCCAGGACGATGAGTAGAGTTAGTTTTCTGCCTCATGGAGGTTTGCATGTTGACCAGAACAGTTTGAATTTGGTCTCATCTGACCAGATCCGTTTATTCCACATATTTGTTTCCCCTGCATGGTTAGACCGTCAATGTGATTTCTTAAATCACATTGTTAAAAAAATCACTTTCCATAAAGCCCAGATTTGTGAACATTGGTTGTGTTTACAATTCCTTACACCTGAGCTGTGGATCTCTGCAGCTCCTCCAGAGTTACCCTGGACCTCTTAGCTGCTTCTTTCATTAATTTTCTTCTTTGCCCTTTACGTTTTGTACTTTTAGGATGGTGGATCGAACAAAAAAAATCCCAGAAATTTTATTTGTGCAAGATTTTTTTAAACTATGCATTATTTTTTTGTCCAATATAATGGACAAAGCACTTTGTGTGTTCATGAAATCCCAAGGAAATATGTGAAGTTTGCAGTTCCAGCATGACAAAGAAAAGGTTTTGTCAGGCACTTCTTATTATTTTCTTTTAAAAACTATTCTGTTATTCTCCCCATTTGACTGATGTTGCCTTGATTTGACATGCAAATCGTGGTTTATCTTATAAATGCTGATGAATTTTGCTCTAATGCCACATGAGCCACCTTTGTAATTACTTTGCTTCCCTCCTCTCCTCTTTACATTATTTTATTTTTCCCTCCAGCTTCTGTACTCTGAAATATTGGTGAAGCATTAACTGTAATAACGCCGGTGCTCAGAACCTCAAAATGTGCAATCTCTGGATTGGTGTCACAGGACAGGGTGTTCTTTCATTTCATTTCTGTGTCAGCCTGGGATAGATTTGGTTTGCCCGCAGAGCGCCTCAGGTGGAGTCGGAGGCAGCGCACACGCGAACAGGAGATTACAAAGTCAGGTCGCCTGCATGGCGTCTGCGTATACGCTCTGTGTGCCTGAGTCCCGGATTATGCAACCTTGTAAACCTGATATTAAAATGACAGTGGAAGTGATCTGAGTAAACTCATCTGTTAATGCACTAAGTCTCTGCTCGCGTGTGTTTGCGTGTGTCTGCAGGATGTTTGACGTTGGCGGTCAGCGCTCGGAGAGAAAGAAGTGGATCCACTGTTTCGAAGGAGTTACCGCCATCATTTTCTGCGTGGCGCTCAGTGACTACAACCTTGTCTTGGCGGAGGATGAGGAAATGGTAGGTGATGGATGCGTGGTTGTCAGAGTGGCCATGAATTTGTGATTTACAGCCACACGATCAATGCTCTGTGGTCGTAAGTTAAAAAGGTGTGCCGGCGTGGAAAATTAAACTGTGGCTGCACCGTAAACAACCCGGCCAGGACTGGGAATCGGTCAAACTCAAATCAACATTCAAGTCACTGGTTTTCAATTAGTTTTGCCTTTTTGATGTAATTTATGGTTTAGCTGGATCAAATTCACCCTGAAGACAAACCAAGTCCTGCTGCTTTTTTTTTTTTTGCACATAATTCGGAGACTTCACAGTAAGCGTTGGTGCTGTTTGGAGGTTTTCTCTGTTTTTTAAAGTCACATATGTCCCTCTGTGGGGTTTTAGTTTTATTCTTTGTTGCTGCAGAAAATCCCTGAACTGTGTGCTGAGATCAGCACCAAAACACGAAACAAGAAATGAACCAGGTGACTCTGAAATGAGATTATTTTATTTTTACTAACCTGCTACAGAGTCAAGTTATAAATTGACAAAATAACAGAGGAGACATAAACATCCTTCTTATAGCCAATGCTACAGGACATTTTAATAATTGTTTCCTAATCATTAATGTTGACATTTAAATGTTTACGGTAAGGTAATTTTATTTATATGGCACATTTTCAGCAACAAGGCAATTCAAAGTGCTTAGTGTTTAGAAGTGTTTAGAAGCATAAATAGCACCAACTCAACACCAAGGTCAAAATGTATAAAATGATTTAAAATAAATTATTCCTTTCGCATTAACTGTAATTTCAAACTGATTTACTATTATTTTTAAATAACCTTTAATTTGAGCACATATTTTGTCTGATGAAAATGTCTTCTTCTTTTTTTGCAAAATCAGATAAGCCACAATTATTGACACCCCTAAAATTTCATGTGAAAAATCTAACTGCAGCAGTTTTGTAATTAATGCTTTTCTTTTTGTGTCTTTGAATTGTGGGTAACACTTTATTTGAAGTGGTGTGCATAACACTGACATAATACTGACATAAATATGATATTACACCTGCTATAAACGTGAAGGAGTCTTCATGAATGTTTATGACTGTTGTCATGAAGCGTCATTCGGTAAATAATGACACTTTCAATGGGCTTTTAATGCAACTTTTAGTACAACTTTGCATTAAAAGTGTCATTATTTACCAAATTACACTTCATGACAACAGTCATAAACATTCATAAAGACTCCTTCGTGTTCATAACAGATGTTATGTCATGTTAATTACAGTGTCATGTAACTCTTATGCACACCCCTTCACATAAAGTGTTACTGAATTGTTGATTAGTGAAGTCCATCACACTATTTCTGTAAGACAAGAGTCCATGTCATAAAGCCTGGCAGATGTGTGCTGATCTTCATAAGTCAGGAAAATGCTACAAGATAATAAATACTTACCAAAACGTTCCCTTTCACGGCAGCAACAATAACAACAAAGTAAACACCTGAACTTGACGACCAGCTCTGGATTAGTACTCCAGTTTATTTTGTCAACACTTGTTGTAAAAGATGATGAAGAGAGACAACAAAATAGGCATCTCTTGACGTCTCTACAGAAATTGCATGCTTAGCAATTAACATTTCTTTACCAGCAGTGCTAATAATTGTGAGGGTCAGTGTAGACATCCGTTGTGTTTCCTTGTGTTACTGAAGGCCATCTTAATATGCTTACAACATATGGTTGATGTGGTTATGACACATTGTGAAACGAGATTTATTGTGGGCTGTCCTGCTTTCTTTAGATGAGTCAGTGAGCTAAATTTAATAATGAATGACTACAACTTGCTGTATTTTTTTTTTCTTATTTTTTTCAAGTTGTGTTTACTGGCAAGGCCTCCTTTGTGAAATATGATTTTACAGACTTGTTTTGTCACAGCGTAGCATGTGGCATTTCATTATGAGCCGCAGGAAGCCTTTGCTCCAGCTAACCAGGAACAGCCATGAGGTTCCCTCCGTCTTATACGAGGGCTTTCATACCCGCTGGCACCGACTGGTTCTGCGCTCGCAAGGTTTTAAAGGGCCGTAAAAAGAACCGGAGTTCAGTCTGTAACACGTGAAACAGCCATGCGTAAGGAAGGGCTATTTGGAGTGAAGTCACTGCAGATGTCTTCCCCAGAACCGGATGCACGAGAGCATGAAGCTGTTCGACTCCATCTGCAACAACAAGTGGTTCACACTCACCTCCATCATCCTCTTCCTCAACAAGAAGGACCTGTTCGAAGAGAAGATCTCCAAGAGTCCGCTGACTATCTGCTACCCCGAGTACACCGGTGAGGCAAATCTCCTGGCTCTGCTGAAGATTTCTTCTTTATACAGTTGGATTTTCTGCTATTGCTCCTTTATTTAGCCTATTCATTCAACTACTCAGGTTACCTCAGTATTACAAGAAAAGTAACCTCCACATTCAGGAAAAATACCCTCAAGTTAAGGGAAAATACCTTACTAGATCAGGAGAAATAGCATCTAACTTCTGTGACGGTTTGGGCAGCATTATGCAGCGGTACATATATATATATATATTTTTTTTTTGCTATAGGTGAGAACTCCTACGAAGAGGCAGCTGCTTACATCCAGTGCCAGTTTGAAGACCTAAATAAACGGAAAGACACAAAGGAGATCTACACCCACTTCACTTGTGCCACAGACACCAAGAATGTCCAGTTTGTGTTTGATGCGGTCACCGACGTCATCATCAAAATCAACCTGAGAGAGATCGGACTCTACTGAAGCTCCTGCCAGGTAAGCGTCCTGACTTTCAGCTGTGCTGCTAATCACATATCGACACCGTATGTTCATTCGGTGGTCAGATCGCTCCTTGTTCGACCCTACACTGATCTAGGTCAGGGAAATATTTGGAATTCAAGGTGTTATTTCCTTTTCCATTGTCCGTGTGTGGTATATGTCTATCTGCCCAGGCAGCAGTAGGAAATATTTATTTTTCTTAGAATATCACCAGGTGCAGCCTGACTAACAGACATCTCCCTGTTGCCAGCTCAGCGATTGCTGAGAGGCGGGACCAAAGTTTGGTTCGCGTTGCGGTTAATAAAAAACAGCCCATGCTGTTCGTGCAGCTCCCTCAGGTACGCTGTTGGCTGAATTTTCCATAAAGTGCAGCTTCTATAGGGAGAAGACAGACTCCTCCTTCGTTCATCATCTGAGGCTGACAGTGCAGAGACACACACACCGGGCTGCACACAGGGGTTATGTTTGCCAACATTTGCATGTCCTATCGCTTAAAACTCCTGCATGTCAATGAGAAACAGCCTGAGATATGACAGACAAAGCAACTTGTAAAAATATTCGTAGTGTTAACATATTTATTTTCTATGAACAACCTGAAAATATGATGTTGTTTGGCAAATTGATTTTAAAAAAATGACTGTTTTAACACCTTCTATCCAAACACATTTAGACCATTGTCTGCTTTGTGGTTTACATTAACTGGTCACATTTAAACAGCATCATGATAAAACAGCGTTTTATAAGAGCTGTGTGTGATTACACTTATTTAAAATGCATTAATATAATTTGTCGTTGCTACATTTTGTGCCGATACTTTTAATGGCAGATAAACTTAGTTTAGTGTAGAACTGCGATTATTTTGCTGATGTAGTGCTAGTTTGGTGCAGGATTGGTGGAGACTTACTAAAAGTCCTAGTTCATTACATCACAGCAGCTCATTTCAGATCATGTTTAACGCACACTTTCACTAGCGGACCTTGATACTATTACGGTTTAGTCATTTTCTTACAAACAGTCTGTAAAGGGAGATTTAGATTAGGAGATTAAGAGTCGGAGCTCATCACCAAAAATAAATAATCTACAAGTGAAACTATAAATATGGTTTGGTTGCTGTATCCCAATAAGGATTTTAAATAGATTATTGAGGTTAAAAGGTTGAGGTCATGATGTTGTTTTATTGACACATCTCAGTTCCTATCACAAACATTTGTTTTTGGTTATATGACAGTAAGTTTAACTCTAAATGTGGCAGAAGTATGAATGATATGAGCTGTTAGTGACTCACTCTGTGTCTGAGCAGTGACGTGTCAGTAATTATGTTTGTTTTATTTGCAGGCGATTTGAGAGAACCTGGACGTCTGAGGTTCGTCTTGACGAATTGGAGCAGTTTTTAACTAAAGACTACATTCATGGCCAGGCGGGATCGAAAGGGCAACTCTGGCCACTTTTCTCTCAGTAAAGATGATTACTGCGAGTCCAGCTGTATTTAATGTATTTTGATTATTCAGACACGTGAAGTCTCTGTTGCTTTTACGTTCAGTATGTTATCTGCACAAGGACTAAAATGGATCATTTCAGAGAATACCCGTCGCTACGTTTCACAGTGTTTTATGAAAGTTAGGTTCACAGTTCTGTTGTGTCTCGTCTTTAAATGTCTGTGTTTTGCTTTTGACGACTTTTTGGTTTTGTTAAGTTCTGTTTTAATTATTAGATGCAGTTTATAGATTTAATATCCCGACCTTTGGATATGTGAATTTCATGACTTTTGATTTTGGAAAGATTTTGACGGGAGCCGTTTATAGACACGATATGTGATGTAATTGTTTGAGTTTGAAGGTAGATAACTAGAGTCCAGTGAGGTCATTTCCCCACCTATAGTCCACTTAGTTATTTTGACTTAAACTAGAACAGAATATGGTGAACAATATGTTTGAAACAAATCACCGATGAAATCAATATGAAGGGACATTTTTAGTTTACTCTGCTTGTTTGTTCTTATTTCATTTTTATTTGGACCATAAATGTTGCTAATATTATTGAATCAGTAAAGGTCAGCGTCTGTTTTTTTTTTTTTTAACATGAAAACATAAAAGTGCGTATCATTTCAAAAGGACATAGTTCTACCCTTTAGCCATTTGCCACTGCTGTGTAGTCATGGTAAAAAGAAAATTTCCCTAAATGTCAGCGCAGTTATCTGAAGAACTAAATGCACCCTTGCTGCTTCCGCTGGATAACGAAGGTAAAGTAGCAGCCAATTTAAAATGTTCCCACAGGAATGGATGACTTAGCAAGCTCCATCTTTGGCCATGTTCGAAAAACAGACAAGCACGTCTGCTGGAGAAGCAGAAAGTCTCTAAAATAGCAAAGATGCATCTGAATCAGGCCTGCAACTTCTCCGATCATTAGAGATTCATGGATGTAATAAAAAGTGCCATGAGAAACAACTCAGCAGATCAGCATAAGTGGCTCAAATCAACCAGGAAGCATGATGGTGGAAAGTACATGTACTTTGGTTTGAGTTTGAGTTTAATTCAGATGCTTCACTGTGGTATAAAAGGAGTTTTTTTTTTATAAGATTAATAAAATCAGCTTTATAAACAGATATTTCCAATGTACGGAGCCCCGAAGGGGACATGGGGATTTTTTTTTTTTTTCTTTTGCGTTCCCTCGCAATAATGTACTGATCAGTTCATGTGGCATAACTGAATACTGTCAGCCTTTCTTACGGTGTCCATCGTACTTCCTGCTATTACAAAAGGCTTTTGTGAGGTTTTTCCATGCGTGTTAATATCTCGTTGTGGAATATCTGACGTTTTATATCTTTTTCTTTATGAGAGAAATGCACCACAAACCTGTAATGTAGACAGAAACTTTCCATAAGAAGGAAACAAAGAAAAAATACATCCAAACTATTTGGACTATTTCTGAGTTATTATCACAGGGAAATAAGTCATCTGACAGTTTTGATTGTGTATTTTTTGTGCTGGTTCTGAATGGTTTAAACTTTAAAGGGTCGTTTTCATGTGCAGTTTCATCTCAACCTGACACAAACAGACGTAAACATGCCGTGAATAAATCGATTTTCAATCAAAGAGTTAAAAACAAAAACATATTTTTAATGAGGCTCTTTAAATGTGTATACATTTTAAATTTTAAATTGACATTTGTGACAAAATAGACCAGCAAATATTGCAAGCATATTGCGAGGGAACGCAAAAGAAAAAATGTTTCCCCGTGTTCCCTAGAGGGCTTCGTACCAACGTTACCAAGCTGACGTCTTCAAAAACTCTTCATCATTGTACTAATGGGAATGTCGATGCCTTGGTGTTAAAACGCTGGCTTTATTTTTAGAAAGACGCCAAATTAGTTCTTCTTTTGAATTGCACTCTGTTACAATTAAAGAAAAACTTTGATTTCGATTGTTTATCAGTAATGATTTTCACTTGGCTGCCTTTTCCACTTACATCAAAACAGGATATTTCTAAGACAGCAGCTCTGTCATCGACAAGCTGTCGTGATGGGGCTCATCATCCACCGCTTTTGTTCAGCGGATGAAGATTTAACTGATGTAAAGACGCAGACACGCAGTGAAGTTAATGCATCTTTATTTCATGCCTCTACATTTCATAAGAAAGAACAGATTCCCATTCCCTTTTCTCGTAAAGCATCCATCCTCCAGTGTTTTCCTCTCACATGTTTCCAGATAATTCATCATTCAAAACATAACTCGTCTATTCTTATGTACAAAGTTCATCTACCATGCTTGTCGTTGTCAGATTTATTCATCACAATAAAATGTTAAGTGAATTCAGTACATTAACACTATTTAGGTTAGATACATGCACGATTGGGTTTGTAATCTGGACAAACTGCAAGCACTGGGAACATCAGAGAAATCTGCTCAGCAACTTTTCAGCTTAAATATCAAGATCACAGAGACTATTGCACTCAAAACCAAAACAAAGAAAATGGTCTATTCAGAATTTTTTTTTTTTTTTACTTTTCCCATATGGCTTTAATTATTTTAACAGAGCTTGGCTTTCAGATCAATTATAATTTATAATTTATACGTTTTAAAAACTCAATGATAATCAGAGAAGCAGCTATTTCATCTTCGTACCTTTAATCTTTTAGCCGTGTAGGAATCTGAGGCTCCACAGTTCACATGGTGACTTCGTATCTGTTTTTACTCAGCCGGACGTGCAGAGAGTTGCAGGAAGGAGATGACGATATTCTCTAGGAGCGTTCAGCCACAGCGTGACGTGGAGATGATGGCATAAAACACAACAGTCTGAGGACGCCCTGTCCCCCGTCAGTACACGTCTTTCCTAATGCCAATGTGTGCGGGGCTCGGGCTGAAAAAGATGTTCTGCAATGAAAGAACACGAGGAAAAGTTGTTAAAAGCTGCTCAAGAAAACGTAAAAGTAAGCTGTAGGGAGGTTGTAAAGACTTTAGCACAAGTCGTCATGGGGATTACGTCAGTCTTTTTATTTGTATTCGTCATCCTCAGCAGTCCACAGGGGGTCCAACCTTTCCTGCCTGAGTTTCTGTTTTCTCGTGTTACGGCCAGTTGTTGTTGGCGAGCGACACGATGGCCAGAGAATATCGATTTAATAAAATTTGCAGGGCTCTGCCTCGTGTGGGACCCGTTACTGTATGTGAAGACAGTTTCTAAAAGATCTTGTACCTCTCTCCCGTCACTCCGGAGCTGCTTAGAACAGACCGCAGTCTTTAAGGTTTTCTTTGATGATGATGTCCGTCACGGCGTTGAACACGATCTCGACGTTCTTCGTGTCTGTGGCACAGGTCATGTGGGAGTAGATTTCTTTCTGACCCTTCTTCATGTTCAATTCCTCGAATTGTGTCTTGATGTAGCCACTGGCATCATCATATGTGTTGGGGCCTGAAAGACGTTTTTCGACAGATACGTGCATCGGTTAATGGAGACAAACCAGCCCTTCAGGAATACTCTTTTTTTCTGTTCTTATATCAGCATATTATTTTCCAGACAAAAAGCTAGAAAAGAACTAAATGACAAATTTGAACAGAAAGGCCTCAACTATAAGATCTTTGACAACAAATAATGTAAAAATGAGTGAGAGAGACAGAAATGACACCCAATCAGATCCCATGACTCGTTAGAAGTGAAAGATAATATAATTAACATCCAACATTACTAATTATTTTATTTAATCTTCGACTTTATATTTTAGTCAACTAAACCTAAAGAAGGGTTGATGACGAGAAAAAAATAAAATCTTGTGATATATATGTCACCTGTGATCCACACCCAGTTTCAGTGCTGCATTTGTGTTGGGATTAGTGGCGTGGAATTCCCAGTGTCCTGCTGCATCAGCACAGGGTACGCTACCTTTAACTTGATATGAGCATCTCGTATTGTTATTATTTTTTGTCTTAATTTATAAAGAACTGTCTATTGGTGACCTATCCAGGGTGTACCCCGCCTCTCGCCCAGTGACTGCTGGAGAGATAGGCACCAGCCCCCCATGAAGCTGCAAGGAAAAGAGACTATAGAGGATGGATGATCTCACATTGAAAGACAGACCATCCATGGGTGCACTCAAGATAAACATAGGATGTAGGCAACAGCTGTGTGTTGTCAGTTGTAATTTCAGTTTCAAACAGTCAGCATGCTGAGGTGAGTGAATCTGAATCCATGCCTTCAGCATAGATAGAGACTACATAATGTTATTAATGAGTCATTGTTGCGGTACTTGAGTCACAGTTGCAGTTATTCAGTTTGTTGGAGCAGAGGTGGTCAGCCACTAAACTAAATCAAAATGACAAAATAATCACAGATTTCTATCATCTATAATTTCCCATTATAGTTTATATGGTTTAAATGCATTTTAATAAAAATGCCAGAGAAAGTGTGACTGCAGTTTCTCTCCGGTGTTGTGGTGCATAGATAAATTCAGTGTTGTTTTTTTCCCCCTCATAAATAGCCTTGCTCTCTTTGGGAGGCAATGCAACTACTTTTGGTGCAAAACTATGTGTTTTAGGAGTTTCAGCTGCCTGAATGCTACAAACAAGAATAACTTCTAGCCACTGATTGTAAAAGCTGTACAAGAAAGTTTTTCACTTTATTGATAGAGGATTCATAACTGGATATATTATAGCTTCTTTGTATCTCCAGATAAAACAATACATAATATTCTCATTTAAAAAAGCCACAACATAATTCTAACTGAGTTCTAGATAATGCAACCTCTTAAATGTTATACATATTTTAAAATTCATAAAGTAGAAATATACATATATGACATGCATAATAAATGAAGAAAGTATGTTTTCAAATATCTGTTTTATGCTTAAATTCCCCCAAATACTCCAGAAGCTGCTTCCATTCAAACTATAGCCTCCGATTGCCCCCAACATTGGGGAAATGCAGCTGAATCGTTTCAATTTTGTTTTTCTTTGGTGTAATTAACATGAGACTGGGGCAATTTCCCCTCAAAAGTTATCAACCTGTGAAACTCTCTCAATAAGTTGGCGTCTGTTGAACGTACCGTCATAGTCAGGGAAGCAGATACTCAGGTGGACTTTCTTGATCTTCTCCTCGAAGAGATCCTTCTTGTTGAGGAAAAGCACGATGGAGGTCAGAGCGAAGAATCTGTGGTTACAGATGCTGTTGAATAGATGGAGGGACTCGTGCATGCGGTTCTGGAGAGACCAGAGACACAAAAACCATCAGGACATGTTTCGATTATTTTAAGATTTTTTTTTTTTTTTTAAACAGCATTGCAGCCATTCTGACTCACCACTTCATCGTCTTCTACAAGCACCATGTCATAAGCGCTGAGGGCTCCACAGAAGATGATGCAGGTCACACCCTCAAAACAGTGGATCCACTTCTTTCTCTCTGACCTCTGACCTCCCACATCAAACATCCTGTAAAGCGTAAAAAGTAAAATAAGCTCTCTAAGTGGCTAATCACCTGGGAACTTTTATTTAGATCAGTGGTTCTTAACCTTTTTTGAGGTACCGAACCCACCAGTTTCATATGCGCATTCACTGAACCCTTCTGTAGTGATAAATAAAATGTCTTTTTTCCCCAAATTCAAGACATAGACAAGATCACTAAGTCTTCTTAAAAGGTAGAGTCTCTGAGAACAGTTCTTCAAAATATAGTCAGTGTTTTCAGCAAAGTTGAGCAGACTGTCCAGCTCAGCTTTGCTAGGTGTTTAAAATGTGCCACAGTTTCAACAGGTTGGCCATCGAGAGAAACTGGAACCACTTAAAGACTGCGGTATTCTGATTTAGTAATGTAATTGTGTTACCACCCCCACGCCACTAGAGGCAGTACCAACCCCGAAAAGATGCGACTAAGGAGCAGATTTAGAAGTACACCGAAAGTTACAGAATTTGGTAAAAACGGTGAGTTTTGCTTAAGAGTGGAGCTCCTTCAATCAGTGCTCCTCCGCAGCTCTGATTGGCTCAGCAATGTAACGTGATCCTCTGCAGCAAGTGATGGCGAAGCGGGGCGTCATCACGACTTTACACAAGTGTCTTTACCTCCGCGGTAGAGGCTCCACCGAACCCCTGAGACCGACTCATCGAACCCCTGGAGTTCGATCGAACCCAGGTTAAGAACCACTGGTTTAGAGGTTATTTTTTAAATTCTGAGCTAACATGGCTGTCGGGACCACATGGATTTTGAAATCTTGTTCAAATTAGGCGACACACTGAAACTAGAGTTTAATTATTTACTTGAGGTTGTCCCGCATCAAACCAGGTCAGGAAGTTAACTTTGGGCCAACATGTTTCCGTGGAGTCAACTCGTTTTCCATCAGTATGTAAATGTTGAAACTCACCTGAAGTGCAACTCTTTGCAGGAGAACTGCTCTTCAATGATACCAGTTGTTTTGACTCGAGATCGCAGCACGTCCTGCTCGGTGGGCATGTAGTCTGGCAGAGAGATTCGGTCCATTTCGCTGAGGTAGCTGAAGATGTCAGGACGAACAGCAAAGCAGTCAAGATTCACATGTATGCCCTTGGTATCTAGAAATGATCGGCCTTTGTAAGTCGTTATAATGCTGAGGAAGCCGCTCACTATCCAGCAGAGTCGTTCAGTTGGTACTCGGCGGCTCTCTCGAACGCG